GCAGTTTTTCTTTAAACTACAGGATCGTCTTAAACTTTTACCCACGATAACTCAAGAAGAAATTTGTGCTTTTATTGATTATTGAGTGGTAAATAACTATGAAAAATATGTGTGAATAATGCGGCCCAACGTTACTGTGATATGCATTGCAGCTCAGAAATAACGGAGATTTTCTCATTCATTCAGTTGAACGTGCATCTGTTTTCCTTTCTATTACATTTGCTCTGAATCATAAATGTGGTGGGTGATCATGATACCATGAATGGAGATTCTTATTTGCTTGTCTTTAACATCAGCTCTCTGAAAAACCAGGATGGCAGGACTTCCAGGACTTGTTATTGGCAACAATGTGACCAATGCTTAGTGCTTTTGCTTTGGCGTCTTCACTAGCAGAATAAATTAGCCAGGTGCGTTGTTTCGCCAGGAACTGGGCGACCCGTATGTCCTTGGGATTCACCGATCCTTCGCCAAGTTCACTCGTAAGAGAATCAAATTGACCCTCTCTGGCCGACCAATTAAAAACTATTTTCAGGCCGATTTCTAATATTTATTCAGCCTGCAAAGGAATCTGGTGGAGACTCAACAGAATCAAGGGCGGCTGTAGCAATGTCATATTCTGTCAGTTTGGGCTTCTATTCTTAGTTATAATCTGGTATCCTCTAGTTTGCCAACGTCGTCATTTGCATCAAGTACCGCCATAGTTGCCTCTACTGGAGACCCTGATGAAATGTAAGACACAAAACTTGATGTCCTAGCTGTAATAAGTATCTAAGGTAATAAACAAAACAACACAGACACAAAGATGTATGGTGCCATAACTGCATGTTTATTGACTAAGAGAACATCTGAATTAGATTTGTTATAGGATTTGATGAATCACGACATTTCACTATTATCTTGTTTAACGCATATAGTATCTAGACGATGTTACATGTACACCTAAGACACGCGGTATGTGTATATAACACTTCATTGTGCATGCATTTACACAGACATTGTGATGTTGGTCCATCGTACGTCGATAGGCGCCTTTGTTCAGTTGCCATTGTTAGTCTTGCATACCTATAGCTAATGATAACGCGTCCTGTCTCTTGTTGAACTGTTCTCCTAACGTTCCATACCAGGATGCACGTTTGATATTTTGTTGTCGCTCGACAGACGTGTCTGAGGCCCTTTTCCCACTAGGATAAAATTAATCGAACCGAATTGATTCGCTTTGATCCGGATTGATCCGGCTCGAAGCTGGATCAATTTGGCTCAATCCGGACAACTTCATCCTACTGGGAATGAGGCCTTTGTCTGCGAGGGTCTCTTGAAATGTTTCCTGTTACGCATGCGTGCTAGTCTACGTTAGTCCACATGCTACTATTACATTTATGAGCCTATATTTTGTTCGCATTCCGCAAAATACCAACCACGGACGTCACTCCCCTAATATTGATTTGTTTAGGAATACTATAGCAAGTAAAACATCTATGTATTTGATATACTTTTACATGGAGTTGCTACATAATATTTCCTAGAAATATGCTAGATTATGTATTCCTAAATATACGAATACCCACAAGACTTACATTGCAGAAGAGGATGAGTGATAGTAGACATGAACGAGGAAAGATATAGACAATGATTTGAAAGTCGTAAAGACCCATCGGCTACTACAGTGAGCTCTAACGTTTTAACAATTAATTTATCTTAAGGATACAGTTTATCTAAATTCTAATCCACAGTGACTTGAATGTACATTATTCACAGGCTTTCCCAATTAAACAATTTTGATCTTATCAATTTTTGTCATGATGTTCCTCACACTCCCACTGAATATGTAAACTAGAGTTCCACGATCTCATACCTTCGCCAAATGATGTTAGCTTTTATGAATAACTTATATACAATGTATTAATCCCCCTGATTATGCAAATAGGATCCGCAATTGCATGAATTATATATGTTGATCATAATCTCCACCAACAGTCTTATTTTAACAAAGAATGCCAGTATAGCATTTCCTCATATATTATGCAAATGAGGTCCTTATTTGAATAAGTTATGTTAAATTATGTTCACCTTCACTAAACTTCAAACACCCCATGTATAAAATTCCAGGCAGTTACCACTATGCAATTATAACATTTTCTCATTAATTATGCAAATTAAGTCTTCATTTGCATAATCAATGTCTGCCTGTGTTTCTCTTGTTGTTAATATCATATGTCGCAAGCTTGAACTTCCTATCATGGAATGCAGCTTATTAATAGAATTTCCTCATTAATTATGCAAATTACATCCATATTTGCATAATTGTAATATCATTTTGTCAAGCATTACTCAAGCTACCTACACACCAAAAATCATGATGATCCATCTATCGGTTCTTGAGTTACCCTCCTTGAAACATTTGTCCTTTAAACCCCCCTGCAGTTCTAGAGCAAGCAACTAGGGGGCCCAAACTCACGTCACTTCTTCCCCAGCACAAGAGCTACCTGCCATCCAAATTTCGTCACCTTAGCATGTCTGGTTCATGAGATATCAAAACCGGAAGTTCAGCTGCAGTACCATGACAAGCCGCCAGGGGGCCCAAAATCTAATCAGTTCGAGTTCTCATCAAGACCTACCCACCTACCAAATATCAAGATAACATCTAAGCTTTCTCGAGTTATGCTGTTGACAGACAGACAGACACACACACACACACTGCCAGGAAAACATAACCTTCTCCAATTCTTGGCGAAGGTAATAATGATTAATATGAACATGACGGCGAACATGCCAAAACAACTATGCAGCAATTGTTATTATAATGGTTTAGGTATCTTCAATTAACTTTAACACCCGTTGTTTCCTCCATTGTGTCTTTTTACATTCGCCAAGAAGGGTATGTTTTCGGAGGCGATCGTGTGTGTGTGTGTGTGTGTGTGTGTGTGTGTGTCTGCCTGTCGACGTCTGTAAACAAGATAGCTCAAGAAGGCTTGGATGGATTGTCTTCATATTTTGTAGGTGGGTAGGTCTTGATGAGACCGTGAAATGATCAGATTTGGGCCCATGGCTGCGTGTTTTGGTACTGGAGCGGAACTCTCGGTTTTTATATCTCAAGATTTGAACATCCTATGGTCACGAATTTTGCATTGAAGATAGCATTTTTGCTAAGTGCCGTGAGTTTGGCCTCCTATCATCTGACACTGCATTTGTTGAGAAGTGTTTCAGGGGATATAACTCGAGGACCAGTTGAGGAATCGTCGTGATTTTTTATATGTACACGTAGGTAGCTTAGGTGATGCTGAACAAAATTAAATGACAATTATGCATTTGCATAATTAATAAGGAAATTATATAAATCTACTGCGTACCAAGATAGGACTGATCAAACTTGGTACAAAGGGAGAACAAAGGGAACATCAGTAGAGGTCAGTTATGTAAATGAAGACCTAATTTGCATAATCAATGGGAAAATGCTGTAATTCCACAGTTGCAACTGATAGGGATTTCCTCCTTTCTATATCAAAATGAGCACCTTATTTGTATAATTTATAAGGAAATGCTACCATAACCTTCTTTGTTGATATAAGACTGTCATTAAATGGAGAATATGATATATTTCATGAATATATTTCATAATTCATGATATTCAGGCAAATGAGGATCTTAAAAGCATAACTCGACAACCGTTGAGTAAACCTAATTTGGCGAAGGTTTGAAATCGTGGAAATCTAGTTTGGACATATTTAATTTTTTATGCCCAAATTCTAGCACAATGCAGTGCTGTCCATTATTAATAAATTATTTCACCATGTTGAATGTGTTCGCCGCCACGTTTGTCACGCTGTGGTTGCAGTTATGGTACCATCTCCCATGTAATATTTTTTTATGATGTGGTTATTTTTCTAGTGCCCTGTTAAACATAAACCATAGAGACCATAAGATTACTATTTTATGTTGACATCAACTCCTTCTAATTCTGTTAGCAGTCAGCCGACTTTGTACCTTTTTTTAAGTCCATCTAATTATTTCAAATTCACGATTTGCTCTATTGTATTTCTATTGAATGTAACTCCACATTCATTTTCTCGCATTACATACCAATTGTGAAGTGTAACGAATTTCCCCAAACGACACAGAGAGAGTAATTACTTTTGTTAGCGCGGAGAAGTGACAAATCTGGTAAAGGAGCACGTAAGGTCCGTGTTCGGCCCTCAACTTTATTAACTTCTGGAAAGGAACTATCCCTAGTGTAAGTGTTTGTGTCTTTGCAGCTGTAACTCACGGTGGTTTGGACGGATTTCTTTGGTTCCTGTAGTATCCGGTAGGTATTGGGGTCCAGATTGTGTTTTTTTTGTACATGTAACTGTGTGAAAGTGGCTGTTGTGAAAGTGTATGCCGAATACCGTTGTTTTTTTTTCATTCAAACGTAGGTGTTTACTTTTTCATAGAAAGCAGGAGTGTGATGAAAGGGTTGCTGACCTGTTTGTTTGTTTGTTTGTTTGCTTGTCTGTTGCACAGCAGCTGGAACTATACCACGCTACTTTCAGCAAGGAGGGAGTGACCTATATTGTGAATTATGATTGTGAAAATCACCAATCTTCTTTTGCAGCGTTGCTGTTAACATTACTGTTAATGTTATTTTTGAAATTTTCCGTAGTCATTGTGATCATCACACGTTATATACTCCACTGAGGTTTAATTTTTTCTCTTTCTTCTTGCATGCTGCAAGAGAAAGAAAAAAAAGGAATTTAAGAAAGAAAGAAAAAAAAACATATCAAAATGAATTTAAGAAAGATTGAAATTTAAGAACGAAACAAAACAAAAACGAAAAAGAATTTAAGAAAGACAAAAAAAAGAAAGAAAGATTTAAAAATGAATTTAAGACAGATTGAAATTTAAGAACGAAACAAAAGAAAAAGAAAAAGAATGAAACAAAGAAAGAAAGAAATGCAAAGAACAGAATAGATTCTGAGACCCATATTGCCATACATATATCTTCAACAGCATGACACGCAGGATGTCTACTGAGGTCTTGGTCCCCATCTATGCATCTGGCTCCATGACAGGAACGAGTTGGTGTCAAGGTCTGTAAAAAAGATATTCTATGTAAATGGGATAAATTATTAATGTTTGTAAGGCCACAGCAAGTAAATAGTATGGATGACATCCTCCGCAGACTCCAAATCTAATGCCATTGGGCGAAAAAAAACAAGGCGCCCCCCAAAAAAAGATCCCTACATTTTCAATTTTTCACATCATGAACATTCTTAAACAAGAAATGATACCAACATGTACTAGTATATAGTGCTAAGTTTACTGCCAACTATTACAACATCCATTGTCACTAAAATAGAAGCTTTTGATCATTGTACAAATGGTTTTGATTCAGTAAGATCACACAAAAAGGAATGAAATGCATTACTGCATCAAAGTAAAAGACAAAACAATAAGCCAGAGCCTTTTCTTGTCTCCATAGTTATCTGCCATCCACGTTCCGGCATGGCAACAGACATCTTTGCCTGTCAGAGGGCAACAAAATTTCAACTAAATATTGCTCGCGCTGATGTCATCCATAAAAATTACTTGCTGAGGCCTAACTGTACGTTATAGCATAAAATAACACTTGTTTGAAAACATGTATTTTAAAAGATGACAGGCTTTTCGTACCGATACGACGTCCGGCCATTTCTTCGATGTTCTGATGACGCTTCTTCCTCCCCCGACCCAAGGCAGCAACAAGGAGCAATACGCCTAAGAAGCCACCTACTGTCCCCATGGCAACGCCTATGGTGGGGAAGGCGGTGCCTGGGGAAAAAGTACACAACGTCATAATAGCAGTCTAATATGTATTCCAGCGGTTCCAAATGAAAGGAAAACGTATAGAAATGTATGAAATGTATAAATATATGTACATAGGTGTACATTTATTGTTACGTGCCTATCTAATATCTATCCATCTATCCATCTACCTATCCATCTATATCATTAGTTTATATGCACTAATTTCAACACACACGAACAGAATGATTAGGTTCTGAAGTATCATAAAAAGGAGATACGATGAAAAGAAATTTGTGACAGGTCGATTTCTTCTTGATCAACTCGGGAGCTAGGTACATCTTTATCAAACTTACAAATTAGCAGAATACAAAAAATAGCTGGCTTTGGAATTGATTAAGACAAGCAAGACAGTTGAATCGCTTGAATCCCTAATACCTGCTTCTTGGGTCTCCTCAACAATGATTGGTCCCTGAGAGATGTTCGCCTTGCGCTCACTGATGCTCTCGCGGCGGACTCGGATCTCGCGAGAGTCTGTCAGAGCCCGCTTGCGCCGGGAGGAGGGGACACATCCGCCATTGCACCGCGAGTCGGGATCGTCCTTTAAACAGACCAGCATGGTGCAATGGAAGTACACCTGGAAGAGAACTTAGAGCATTGGTGAAGTGTCGTATGGACAGAGTATCTCATGCTCAGAGGACGCACAGGCTCCATTCCCACTACTGTAAAAATAATCCGGATTGAGATAAATAGCTAACCGAATCGATCCGGTAAAATTTATCATAGTGGTGATGCTCCAAATCCGGTTCGATTCGGCTTGATTCGGCTCGAAGCTGGATCAAAGTGAATCAATTCGGGCCGATCCGGACAACTTTACCCTGGTGGGAATGGGGCCCTTGTGAGACCTAAGGAGGCTAGTTTAGGAGGTAATTTCAACAACAACTCTGAGCTACAAAACACATGATAGCTGATTATGGTGTAAATGCACCATATATATTTATATAGGTGCCATTGACTTCAGTTTTTAAAGGATATAGTACCCTGTTGTCTTGCTGGATAACAGCTGTAATCCATGGCTAATGGTCTATACCACACCTCTTTCAGAAGGTATTTTCAAGCCTGTATTATGAATAATAACTGTAATATCACCAATCTTTTAAGTTGCTTTTTATCATTGTTATTGATTTTTCATCATCATCATCATCGGTCGACCGAATTGGTCGGGGTTATACCGCCCCATACGAGGTGGCATACCCTTTCGTTAGCTTAATACAAGACGGGGTTTTCCTCATAAACATTGAGATGCAAATTCAGTTCCTTGTTTACATCATTTGCCATATTCATTTAGTTTCGTTTCTGTACTTTATTAGTTTCTTGTGTTTTTCAAAATTTGTATGATTGCACTTAAGTTAGTTTATACCTTTCCTTTTATCATATCATATCATATCATGTATGTTTTATGCAGGGAGCTTTGAAAACCGCCAACATGGTGACCCTGAATAAATAAATAAACATGAAAAATGAAGTGTAAGTAGCGTTACTGGTAAAATGTTTGTTTATCTCATGTCTGCGATTGTCGGCAGCCATTGTGAACATTAAACATTATATATTACTGGAATCTTGGATTTTTTTTGTTTTTAATTACCAGACGAGAATCATCAGCGTTGGGAATAGTGAAGGCATCGACAGAGAAGTACATGGCCATGTCGTTCGAACGGGTGCTGTCCATTAATAAGGTCGGGTCCACCAGGCAACTGCACCAGAAGACGAGAAAAGAAATTCGACATGTCTCAATAAACAAGTACATTTCGTTCGAGAGGATTTATAATTTGCACTAGAAACGTAACATTCGCAAAGTAAATGCATTATGTTTACTTTTATATGAACCAGCTTAACAAACTACTGCTTTGTGTGTTCTTTATTCTTACTCAAACACATTCATATATATGGTGACCATACAGCCCCTTCTTAAACTCAGTTTTGCATGTCACTTATGTAACCCATCACCAGTTACCATGGTGAGAGACGTCTGGTTCAGACTCTGAAATCTGAAACACAAAACTAAGATACGAACCCGTCTTGAATAATGCTGACTTTTGGATCAGAGTTCGGGTCTGTGGTTGGTGTTGCGGCACAGTGGAGGGCGAACAGCTCCAGGACATTAAGGGATGAGTCCAGACTCAGTCCGAAGTGCAGGCGGTCAGAGGGTGTCATCTATGCATAATGTTAAACCAGAAGATGAACATATGCATGTTACACCCCATTGTATTCCATGTAGGAGGAAAGTGTTCTTATGAAGCAGTTTAAACTGACATTTCCAACATAAGAATTGGACGTACCCAAATTTTCTAGTGTGTGTGTCACTCCAGTCTTTGTCAAAAAATGAGCAATCCACCGCTTCTGTGACGTCACGTTATGCAGATGACACACGTGATTCGGTGAGCAGTGGATCGTAAGTTGCAGAAAGTTTGTGTGCCCCCCCCCCTCCATCTTTGTTGAGATGTAGATGGCGTCGTGCTGGTTGTGGTCATAGATTCTTACTTTATCCAAGGAGACCACAGAAATGGTGTCCAGGCGATTCTATATCTCGGCAACTTAAAATCCACTGTCACTGCACGACGAGTCACGTGTGTCATCTGCATAACTTGAAGTCACGGAAGCGGTGGATTGCTTATACCTTGACAAGACTGGAGTTGCACACTCGAAAATTTGGGTAAGTCAAATCTTTTGTGTTGGAAATTACAGTTTAAACTGCTTCCTAATGACTTCTACTAACTCAGATAGATAGGAAAGTGTCTATTCAAATAAAAGTTGGTCTGGCATTCAGCATTCAGCATGTTGAAAGGAATATGGTAGATAATGTTAGAATGTTAAATGTAATAGAAGGCGCATGGTGTTGTAGGTAAGAAAAATATATCTGAAAAATATAAATGCTAATCTTGACATAGATGAAGAAAAAAGCTGCTTACCCGCAGAGGAAAGTCAGAGGAGTCGTACATAGTGCTAAAATCTTCAGAAGTGAACATGTTCAGGTTGAAGGTCAAGACGTCATCTGCGTCCACGATTTCCACACTGAAAAACATTCAAGTAATGTTTAGAATCAGAAGTCAAGACAAACTTGACAAGAAGTCACACACAAAAGTATTAAAGTATATTTAAATTGTGTGTGAAGAATGGTACATAAGATTGGAACAATTTTCTCGATTGGTGTTCATGTATGTGTGAGCATGTTGGTAGTCATATTTATTACCTTTGCCAAGAAAGGTATATCCCCGGTGCCTTTTGTGTTTGTCTTGACGGCATAACTGGAGAAGTTACCAACTGATCCATACGACATATGGCATGTGGGTAGGTGCTCTTAAGACAAAGGACAGTTTCGAACTTCCTAGCGGCTTACACACATGCAAAGGAATGGTAAAAGGTAGTTAACATTAGTGGTCACAAGCTCATACCGTTTGTTAGCATTTTGAAGAACGTTTTAGAAAAACATATTATTTGAACACTTTTTTACCCCAACCATCCACGTTAGCTAACGAGGAATGGTTCTAACATAATTACCTTCACCAAGAAGTTTATGTTTTCAGTAGCTTTTGTCCGTCTGTCCGTTTGTCCGTTTGTGAAGTGAACAGCATAACTAAAAAAGCTCACTATGCATTGTCATGAAACTTGGTATGTGGGTAGGTCTTGATGAGACCTAGGAATGATTAGATTTTGGGCCCCCTGGCGGCTTTTGTTGGTACTGCAGCAGAACTTCCGGTTTTGATATCTCGCGATCTAGACATGATAGGGTCACGAATTTTGGTTGGTAGATAGCTCTTGGGGTAGGGAAGAAGTGACATGGGAAGAAGTGACTCTGGGCCTCCTAGCGGCTTGTCCTGGAACTGCAGGAACATTTGTTGAAACATTTTCGAAGGAGGATAACTCAAGAACCGGTTGACGGATTGTCGTGATTTTTGGTTTGTAGGTAGCTGAAGTGATGCTTGACATAATCAGATGACAATAATGCAAATCAGGAGCTAATTTGCATAATTAATGAGGAAATTCTATAAATCTACTTTGTACAATAATAGGACTATGAAATACTTGTGACATGTAATTGATAACGAAAAAAAAAAAGTCTGAGGATATAGATTATGTAAATTAAGACCTAATCTGCATAATTAATTGGAAATTTGTATAATTTCATAATTGTAATTGCTGGGAATGTCAGACTTGCCACATTTGGAAGTTGAGTGAAGGCGAACATCAATAAACATAATTTATTCAAATCATGACCTCATTTGCATAATTTATGAGGAAGTGTTATAATAGCCTTTTTATTAAGATAAGGCTGTCATTAGGTGAAGAATATGATCAACTGATATAATCCTTGTAAACATCATTTGGCGAAGGCATGAGATCGTGGAACTCTTGTTTCACTATGGTTTAATTGGAACTTCAAGTTAGCTTTGTGCCTACTTGGGCCTTTCCATCAGATTAAATTTGTGCATAATTTATGTATATTTGCTGTATGTTGGGACTAGTAAGGTCACAAAAAAGTCCTACCTGGGAGATGGGATGTTGTACATGACCTCTCTTCCCTGTGAGATGACGAACTGACGGTGGAACTCACATTGGAACCTCCTTCTAAAGCTGGTTCCCCTTACGGCTCCATTCGCAAGAGTTACTGGATCAGCAATGGCCTCGTTCATGAAGATGAACTTGTCATTTTCCATATTTGCCTGTAAAACAATAAAACTAACGTAAATACTTTATTTTTTTAATTTTATTGAAATTGCAACAATGCAATACACGCCGAACAAAGGCAGCTGTTGCTGGTGTTGTTCCACAAATAGAAACGAATACTGGACAGACAATGCTCATTTTCACTTGAGTCTAGTGGGGAAAGACGCGTTAAGTGCCTTTCCCAAGGGCACAAGATCGGTGGCATGTCAGGACTCAAACCCGGGACCTCTTGATTCCGAGTCGCGCACGCTGCCGTTGCACCAAACGACCCCACTTTTGCACCAAACGACCCCACTTAGTACTTTAGCAGCAGCAAAGTTCTTACACACATGCATGGGTTGAAGCAGTTGAATTCAATCATATACCAACCTAATAGAATTATTTCTGTTCATTTTATGTTTAAGGTTATGCATTTGTTAGTTTCGACTCTCACTTGTTCAATAGTCCCACAGTCCTTCAGGCCAGTCTCCAAGCTCACGTAAGTTGGACCGACCGTAGCTTTACATTTGGAGTCCAGCAGGTGCATGTCGTTCACGTTCACGTTTGGCAGCCCGGCTAAGGGAATGGATACCTTCATGGTCCCCTGGGAGCACTCCACGTTCACCACAACCTTAGCTGTACCAGATTTACAGGGTAAAGTTATTGTCATGGAAGTTTATCTGTGTCGGTGAGTTTGTGATCACATTGAGTGATCTGTGTAGGTAGCAATTATAGAACGATTCTAACGTTTAAACCAACAAAAAGGTACACAAGGATAAAATTTTAACGGCCATTGTTTTTGCCGCCTTCTTTAGGATGATTTAGAATTAATTACTTCCGAACGTAAACTTGCAAGAATTACGGTTACAGACACGTTTCCTTATTCATACCAGGCTTTAAGTTATGAATACGTGAGGCAAGCAAGTGATGGAATGTGATAGGGAGTTTATATCGTCCACCGTCTCTTTTTTATCAATTGCTTGCATGTCCGTAAAGTTTCGCGTGAATAAGGCCATTATATATGTAAATCTGTAACTAAATCTCGCAGGTGTATGTTCAGATATGATTGGTCCTGCTGAAAATTTCATCCTTTGTATACCCTTTGTATTGGTATAAAGTTTAGCATCGTCATAAGATAAGGGTTTTTTTGGTTAACTGTTATCTACCTTTATGTTTGCATGGGCACAGAGCGTATTCATCAGAACCTTTATATGTGTTACAGGTTCCTCTTAAATCTCCAAGAACAGTTGGACACACACCAAAGTCAAGGTTCCACAGCCTTTATTTTCCACACCCTTGCACCAGGGCTCCCTTCTCAGAATGCTCAGACAGACTACCCCTCTCCCCTCTGGAATGCCTTCCTGACCTCGATATTCCATTCCGGGCTTAACCGTTACTCATCAGGGGAGGGTATAGACCTACACATGTACTGGCAATTTTCTCTAGCATGTAACACCTCCCCCAAGATGATAAACATGTGTAATATAGTTTCATCATCTGACAATATGCTAACTACTACTACTACTAACAGGGGAGTCAGCTACCTTAAAACACTACTCTGTTACAATACACTTCTACTCCGGTACTTCACCTGGTCAGCCATGGCATGCTCTGAAACTTATTTCACACCATACTCCTGCTTGGTGCGTTTCCCTGCCGCCTTCTTTAGTTGGTGCTGCCTCTGCAACCAACGCAGCCGACCCCTCCGGTAAACCGGATCCTCCTCCATGAGCTTCTGTATCCTTTGTTTTACTGTGTTACTCTCGCTCTTCACTTCTGCTTTCGGAGGATACGCGACTTGGCCACCTTGCTGGCGTCTCGCTGGAATCTGATATCGTGGTACCGCTGACTCCATCTTCTCACCACGCCCAAGGTGCCTCTTGTCCTCCCCCAACTCACTCTTGATCTCCCGAGTGGTCACCGGACCTGCCCTACTTCCGACGCAGGCCGCCCCGTAGTCGTTGCCTAGCAACACCGGGTAGGGCGTGTTCATCACCCCTACTTCTACCTCTCTCGCGTTACCATCCACTTCCAGCTCAACTCTGGCTGTAGGCACGCTGTCAACAGCCCCATTGGCCAGTCTGACTTTGATGACATCTTCTGTGTATGACTTCCTCGGCACCAACTTCTTGTTGACAAAGGTCCTGGAGCTCCCAGTGTCCCTGTACACCTGTACTTGCTGGCCGTTCACAGCTCCACTGCTGCGGTACTTGCTATCTTCCGCCAAGTTTCCATCCGCGTCCCAGGGCTTGTCTGCTCCCTGCGCGAACATACTCTGTGCCACCACATTCTTCTTGGAGAACCCTTTCCCCAAACTAGGGCAATCAGCTTTCACATGCCCTGTTTCACGACAGTGGTAACAGGTCTTACGGAAGCCTCCCCCAGGCTCCCCGGAGCCACCTTGACCGCTCTTCCTGACAGGCTCACCCTCAGAGCTTGATGAGTTGCGTGGACGGACTCCTTCAAACAGACCGCGGCCATGTGCCATCAGGTACTGCTCGCTCATCTTCCCTAACTCCTCTAGGGACTCTGGTTTCCTCTCCCGGAGGTGTATCGCCAAATCCGTCGGGCACAGATCTAGGAATTGTTCCTGGATGATCAGGTCACAAACTCCCTCGAACGTTTTTGAAGTTCCTGACAGCTCGATCCACCTGTTGAGGTAGCTGGATAAACGCACGATATACTGATCAGGCCCTTCCCCTTCCTGAGGAATTTCCGACCTGAACTTCTTGCGGAACCCATCTTCGGTAAGCTCGTACCTCTTTAGAATGGCTTCCTTTACCTTGTCATAATCTTGCGCCTCAGCGTCAGACAGCCTGCTGTATACGTCTAGTGCTTTCCCTGTTAGTAGGGCACTCAGTAGAGACGCCCACGTGTCTTCCGCCCAGTGGTTGGCACGGGCAAACCTCTCAAACCTCAAGAGGTACCCATCTATTTCTTCACCTTCCATGAAGCTGGGTAGTCTCGGCGTCTTAGCCTTGACGTCTCCTGCACCTTCTTTCTTGGCCTTATGGTACTCGATTTCCGCCTGCCGTACCTTCAGCTCTTCCATCTCCAGCTCATGTCTTCTTTGAGCCGCTTTCTCCTTAGCCTCATTCTCCCTCTGAGCCTCTCTTTCCTTGGCCCGTTCATCTCTTTCTATAGCCTGCTGGGCCATCACAAACTTCAGGAGGTTTTCCCCCTCCAAGCCCATCTCCTTGCCTTGTTCGATTAGCTTATCCATGGCTGACACAGGTACACCACCCCCTAGCCACAGTCAATGAACGGTCCCTGCAATCAATGCACTATCCCTGATAAAAGTCTCTGTCTCTGATAAAAGTGGGACCAGATGTGATCGGTGAAACCCTACTCTAGAGTGCAATACTGGACTAGCCCTAGCGGTAGCTATCTGTCAACAACTCCTGACCCCATCCATCAAAAGCACATTCCTAAGCAGAGTAACCTCACAAAACTACACAAGACTTCTAGAAAATACACATCTAGGAGATACAGACTTCTACTAAGCTCTAGAAACTCGCAACAGGTCAACAGAACAACGAAAATACACCGTTACCAGCTGCTTCAGTCTGCTCTCTCTCTGCCACTGTCCTCAATCATATGATAGTTCCTACAGTTCAGTACATGAATCCTTTAAGACAGTCCCGCTGCTCACTCCTCCTCGAGTCGTCAATCTCCGGAAAGCGTCCATATACCCCCGTCACATTGCGCGTAAATCGATCGGCCGACTAGTTGGCGAGCTCTAAACGACAGTTACGGCCGTAGTACGCCCGATGTTCCGTCGAGCATCGCGCGAATTTTCGGGATCGCCGGCGATTTTTTGGAGTCGGCCGAAGGTCGCTGACACGCGAAACGTGTTCTTAACATAAGCGACTAGTCGCCGGCGATTTTTGAGGTCGCAGAGCTCGTTTCCAGCTCGCGCGTAGCTCGCCCGTAGCTCGTCCCTGTGCGGCCGAGAGTCGACCGATATTCGGACGTACATCCCACGAGTCTCGGCCGTATTTCGTCTTTGAAAATCGGGCGACGGTCGCTGAATACGGTCGACCCTCGCGCGAGCTTCGCGAAATGTTCGGACGACCCTCTTTCGTACCTCGCCCGACTTGCGCAAAGTTTTTAAACTCGTGCGTGCTTCGAGCGAGCTTGGTGCCAGTGTCGGACGAAGGTTCTACGAGCCTCGGCCGAGCTCCTGTGAAGTTATTATTTATTCAGCACCTGTGACATTTATTTGAGATTGCATTGACAGTATACTGTGTAAAGTTTGCAGAAGCAACGTCCCATTGATTGTTAACGTTATATTTACGAGAAAGGATAAAAATAGACAAAATCGTCCTTTTTGTCCTTTTGTTTAATAAACAAAATCACTTTAAAAAGATGATGAGGTTTTAACTATATAAGGCCAAATGCCCAGATTTTGACCTCAGCTTATTGAACGCACATGAAATTCTTTACTCTTGTCCCTTTAGGAGGTGTGTGCCCTTATTTCAGATGGCTGTATAATAAATTGACGTTTACACTTGTTCATTCTGGAATGGAGTTGACTTTTTTCTTAGGGTGCCCACAAGAACGTCATGTGATAGATATTACTTCCTAGTTGAAGTTTATATTGCATGAGTCTTTTTACCTCTGTCTACTTTGTTGACATTGAATGGCTTGTTTACCGGAAGATTCATACTATTTTAGACAGAAGTATACAGGCAAAGTTTTAGAACAATATATGTTATTAGCTTTGTTCAGGTGCGCGTGTATAACAAGATTTTGAATCGTGCGAGCATCGATAGATCGTCGACCGTAACTCGGGCGACGTACGCCCGTGTGTCGAACGAGCTTCGGCCGACTCCTGTCTGGTTAAAAAGGTGGTCGTTGTGTTAACCAGACGGTAGTGTAAATTTGTGGCTCTTGTGGTAGTATTTGAGTTGAATCTTTCACAGAATTCCTGTTTATATTTCTATTTTATTCTGCCAGTCCGCTCCATTACTTTGCTAAAAAAATAATACGACAGGTCAAACATAAAAATTGGCCAAACTTTTCATTTTTAGGTGGATCCACTGGCATTGCTTCATCTGCTTGCCATGTCATAGGGACTTCATTATCATAGATGTTTTCCCAAGCGATCGCCCGAGCCTCGCACAATGTGACCGCGACGATTTTCAAGCCAAAAATACGCGCGATCGTCGGTCGATCTCAAAATCGGCCGATCATTCGGCGATTGACAAATACGGCCGAAGCTCGTCGACAATGTGACGGGGGTAATACAACACTGCTGGGCTCCACAGCGTCCCGTCTTCTCCTGGAATTCCCTCCTGGACTCTCCTCTCGCTTCCCCCGCTTCCACTGACCGCCCCGTGAAGCACCAATCCGCGATCTTTGCCGTTGTATCCGCACAAAGTCCGCTGGTCTCCGCTGGTCACAGCCTTCTTCTCTGGCTCCCACGTGCCCTGATTCTGTACGGGTCCTGTGGACGTCTGGTCTCCAACCTCAGCTTCCAACTTTGCACGATCAGCACAAAGTCCACTGATTTCTGCTACAACCTCCTCTGGCGCTTCCTGACCAACTGTCCTGCCGACAACGCCAATGTTACAGGTTCCTCTTAAATCTCCAAGAACAGTTGGACACACACCAAAGTCAAGGTTCCACAGCCTTTATTTTCCACACCCTTGCACCAGGGCTCCCTTCTCAGAATGCCTTGACAGACTACCCCTCTCCCCTCTGGAATGCCTTCCTGACCTCGATATTCCATTCCGGGCTTAACCGTTACTCATCAGGGGAGGGTATAGACCTACACATGTACTGGCAATTTTCTCTAGCATGTAACAATATGCAACAGAGATTCTTGACTACAATATGAGCACAGGCTGCAATTTTATTTTTTTTTCTTTGCAGTAAGTCAGGCAAGTAGGCAGATGCAATCGTGAAATAAGAATATGTTAGAAAAGGTTATGTTCTGTAATATAGTCTACATTAAAGCTATCGATTTATTCTTGTGAACATGTTTTATATTAAGATAGCATTAAGGTAACATAATGCCCCAAGACATGCGGAAAGTGACGCTGTGCTCCGGCGTGGTGATTCAGATTCAACAAATACAAGGCAATGCGTAAAACTAAATTGCGTTGGTCTTGACAATCAACATTTGAACAAATGTACATATGCAGTTGTTCAAATTCTTAGACACGTGCAAATATGTAATACAGAAAACACTACATCGCAAGATCGTCATTATTAGGATATCAATATAAATGAACTTTATCGCTCGACAATGGTACAAAGTGTGGCAGGAATACACCAAAACTAATATTACATTACTTACTACAAACTACTGTCCAAACAGTATATGAGTTACAATATGGTCATGTATTGATAATATGGTCTCGCTTATGGAATAAAGTGTACTTAAATTGACCTAAGTAAGCAGATATGGTAGTTGGATATGACAAAAATTCATGGAATGTATCATACTGTGTACCAGATTGGGTGAGCTTTGTCTTAGTAGTAATAGTCTGTAACAATGTTACATTTATTGATTTATTGTAATGTCGAAAAGCCTGGTAAAGGAAACTGCCTCTTTCTCACATACTGGTTTCGATAATACTTTGCCTGTCAATATAAACAGACATGTGGTAGTAAGCATAAAGACTCTTTGCTAGTAATGCTATAATCATTAATGATTATTATTATTAGTAATAGTAGTAGTAGTGGTAGTAATAGTAGTAGTAGTAGTAGTAGTAGTAGTAGTAGTAGTAGTAGTAGTAGTAGTGTAGTAGTAGTGTAGTAGTAGTAGAACTAACCTGTGGTTTTAGTCCCACTGCCTCGTCCATTTTCCTCACCACCTTCTCCGAATGATGTGACCGTGAATGTGTACTCCGTGTCTGCCCACAGTCCGCTAACCGTTACTGTGGTGTTGTCCGGTGCCGGTGGGGGAGAGAGGTCCTCGTAGAAGCCTCCGGCGTGTTCGTAGCGGACGTGATACCTCATGATGGTCAGGTCATCAGGGACAGTCCAGGACATGGTGACGTGGTCCAACGCAACCTCGGTAAACGTCAGAGGAAGCTGCACTGTAGCAATATTGCGTATCATATTTTATCATTTCATATCGTCAGGAGTATTACCTTTTATGCTTAAAATTTACCCTATTTAGCTTGGTCCTTAAGGGATGACGGTTTCGGCTGCTACAACATCCGCGGGGAGACTGTTCCAAGAGTTAATTGGCCTGATGCTGAAGTTGTTTGCAACAGTTGGCTTTGTTCACACACACACACACACACACACACACACACACACACACACACACACACACACACACACACACACACACACACACACACACACACACACACACACCCGTGTACACACACACACACACAGTCACACAAACACAGACACACACACACACGTGTACACACACATACACACACACACACACACGCAGACACACAAGCACACACACACAGTCACACGCACACACAGTCACACACACACACAAACACACACACAGACACACACACACATACACAGTCACACACACACACACACACACACACACACACACAGACACACACACACACAGACACACGCACACACAGTCACACACACACACACACACATACACACACAGTTCGACCCAGTTGCTTAAGTAACTACTGTTTTTTGGGGCTTCCTGAGTTTGTATAGTAGGCAGTTGCTGGAAAGAAAACGTGAGACCTATAAGGAAAGAGTTTTAGAAATATGATAAAGAATAAAGCAATAAAAAGCAGAATAAGGCTTTTCTTTTTACCTGTACATCCGGTTCCATCTATGACTCCGTCCCCCATAAACCCATTCTCACATGTACACGTGGCGCCCGTCCCCGGAGCAGTGACGTCTTCACAGGTAGCTTTGGGGTGACACGGGTTCGGAGAGCAGCCATTAATGTCTGTAAGAAAGGATTGGACAAGATGGTCATTTGGCTAATAAGTTAGCCCCTAAACGAGAGCCTGAAAATGCGTAAAATCCGACATTCGACAAGCATACCTTAAAGGCAGCCAGTGCAGTTTTTAGGGATTGGAATATACACACTGAGTTGAAACAACACTGTCCCAATGTATATTGGCATTCATAGAGTACAAATGCCGAAAATTCTGACGAAAAACGGTTACTGAAAGGACCTGGATTGATTTTTTAGGGTACCACCTAGAAAAAAAGGACTAATCTTGGGGCTTGTTTCTGCAGTTTTAGATGACTAAAGTATAAAATACTGATTCAAATGTGCTAATGTGGGACAATATGTGACAATATCATACTGATTGCGTTATTCAAAATATTCAGAATATCAGTTATATAATGAATAATTTTATTTACTTCTCTCGCACATGAAAACACGATGACATGTCCTACCTGTACAAGTAGGAAAGCTGTCACTCCAGGTGCGGTCATGGCGGCACGTGACGGTTTGGGCACCTACAAGTTGATATCCCGCATTACAGGTGAACGTAACCTCTTCCGGGTAGGAATAAGATCCGGACATATCGCCATTGTCTGGAGAGGTTGGCTGGGGGCACTGCACGGCTACATAATTAAAAAAAAAACATTTAACGGTGACGTTTTAAAGGTCCTTATTAATATAACTGCGTCTATGTTTTCAAACGAAAGTATACATAGAGGACACAGACTCGACAGTTGTACGTGTATCATCAGGGCATTGAAACAAATCCAACGTACATTTTGGTTATTTTTATGGATCAGATTACCGGTGCCAACAGAGACTAATGAAAGAAAGTTTGACTATACATATTTGAAAGCCTTGTCCTTGATAATTTTCACATATGTTGAGGGTCACAGGTTGTACTATTAATATACATTAGGTATCAATATACATAGTGGTCGAGGATCTCTGTCACTCGTAATAATGTGATGAATTGTACGTCATTATTTATAGAAATGTGTATCGACCAATTTTAGTCTTGCAAAAAATCCATAGTCTCCAAGATCCTTTCGTCCGTATACCTGTTGAAAAGGGACAGGTACTTCCTTGCCCAATGCAAACTCCCCTCTGAAAATTCGTGAATATCGTTTTTGGGGGATTGTAATTCATACGTACGGCAAATCGAAATTTTTATGTGCTTTGCCAGCGGTCGACCAAAAAAGTTCGAGGGGTTTTGCACGAGTTGGTCTAGAAGCCGGAAACACAATATTCCCCCTAGACCTTAAGGTAGGACATGTACCTGTACATCCGGTTGAAGATATGTATCTGTATCCATCACCCTCATATCCTAGCTTACATGTGCACGTAAATCCCTCAGCAGGTGCGATGATGTCTTTACAAGTAGCCATGGAGTGACAAGGAGGGTTATTAGAGCAGCCATCGGTGTCTGTAACAAAAGTGACACCAAGGTATGCACTCATGACTGTACCTTACCAAGAAAGCTTTTCTTAATGCCGTCGCTTTAAAGGTAACCCATGAGTAATAAGAAAGGCCGACATTTGCTTTGGAGCAAATCTAGCGGATGGCTTCACCAAATTTTACGACATGGCAGGGAAAGAAGGAGAAACACAAAGGAAAACAATGCTTTACATTGATATAATTATAGTATGAAGTGACTAAAGTTAGATAGCTATGCCCTACATTTTTGCATATTGTGGGAGAGTGCAGGACGTCCTGCACTCTCCCGCAGAACGACCCGCGAAATTGATGCGTATTTCGTGGCCTGTGCTGTACCTACCAAACACTTGAGTCCATACTGTCAATGTGGAATGACTTTGTACAGGTGTTGAGTTAAAAATCCCAACAGCCAATCAGCAAGAAGAATTGAGGAAACCTGCATGCCTATTGGTTGCTTGCTCTGCATGCCATTGCTCTGCATGCCATGAGTCATACCCAAATACGGTAACACACTGCAATAATACATTTTCCATAATGCAGCCAAAAGGCTCAAATAAAACCATTCTAAAAGCCTGTATAAAAAAAAACGAGCCTGGTAGTATTTGCACACTGTACCTCCATACCAAATTTCAGGTTATTTAGCCCCAAAACGAAGAAATTGAATCCATTGAAAGAAATGGCAGACGACGACGAAGGAGAAGAAACGCGAAGAAAAAACAATGTGACTACAATAGTGGTGTAGCCATAAATAGAGTTTTAACGTAGATAACAATTCAAAATTGATAATGTCTACCTTCACGTGGTCGAGTCCAACAATCTTGTGCTCTACTTACAACTCAAACACATTGATATACATATTGAGTATCAGCCTCTGTAACTTGTCCCTCCAACTCTGTCCTGCAACTCGCTAGATAATGCAACCACAGGCTGTCTGACAGCACCAGCTATCATGGTGACAGCTGGCTGGGTCAGGCAATTGATTTATTTGTTTGAAAAGGAAGACGTCCATCCATCGGCGGCGGCTCGAGTCCTGGCATTCGTGCAGAGGTAAAAAACGGCCAAACAGAGCAAAACCAATATGTTTTCCTCCTGTAAACATTAACATAAACATTCTGGTGGATATTACCTCATAAGCACAAGCCAAATATTTACGTTTTTTGCACTTGCAACACATCAAGTCTTACCTGTGCAAACCGGAGCATCGCCACTCCAAGTGCCGTCAGCCTGGCAGGTAATGGTACTCTCACCTCCAAGTGTGAAACCTGGGTCACACCAGAACCTGGCCTCAGAGTTGTATGTGGGTGCTTGGTCAACATAGACGTCACCGTTTTGCGGAGGTCTGGGCACTGCACACTGAACGGCTGAAATTTGAAGAGATGGGCATTATCAATTATCAATTCATTTTCAAATAGTAGTAATCTTTGTATCTAAAAGTTGTTTGCACATAAAAGACACTACGCCTTACCTCTACATGTGGGCTCAATACTAGTCCATTCGCCGTCTGCTTGACACTCTGCGCTTGGCTCACCTACTAGCTCGTACCCTGGGTCACAGGTGAAGTGAACCACATCCTGGTAGAGGAACGGGTCGGAGCCGATTCTTGAACCGTGCAAGGGAACCCATGGCTCGTCATAACACTCCCGGGCTGGAACACGGATATTCATGTTGGTATTTTACATGTTCATGACCTGGCTGAAGGGCTATTACTTTTTAAAAATACATTCGTATATTGATTACTTCGCTTCGTAAAGCCCTTGTCACACATTCACGACCTTCCCCTGAATTCGTTTCCGAACACCAACCGACTTGATTCGGCTTACATTTGGAAGACCTCTGACTAGGCCCGGTTTACACGTGTTGGGCGTAAGACGACGCGCGGCGCCGCACTGTGCGTTTTGTGCGACAGATTTTTTTTAGCGTGTAAACAACCTCCGCCACCGCCGTGCGGCG